AGGAAAATTTCGCCGTCGGCGGGATCGATGGCGCCGTCGGCGCCCTAGTTCAATTCATTACATTTTGGTCATTTTTGCTCCAAATTCGATACTTTTTGCATTTTTTTTGCTCCAGTGACCCTAATTCATCATTCTTGCAACAAAACATCAAAAATACATATCTTTAAAGTGCAATATCATAAAAAACAATATAAAATAGGTCTGAAAATCTCAACATATTTTCCTTTGATCACTTAGTAGCACATACAAAAAAGAGTTAGTCATAATCAGTACTTGCCCCCTCTCTATTACACGTGTGGGCGTGTTTAGGCATGGATCCCTGCAAGAAGACCAACATAATATACCACTGCTTACATCTCAAAATCAGTAAACATGCAAGCACAAAAAGATGATGTCTGACTAGGGCAACCAAACAAGCAGAGAACTATAGTCAGGACATCAAAAAGAATTAACTAGCATCTCATTCATTAGCCTAGCACATCATCTAATCTTGTGCTCTAACACAACCTCTAAGTGAGTGCAACAGGGTTAAGTCAGAAGGTTGAAGTATATTTTGACAGGGTCGTCGCCTCTGACCCTGTCCTATGGTTCATCCTAATGGTTGCCCGTGGATGCATGTTTTGCAAAGCTTTTGAAAAATTGACCTCATGTATGGCCTAAGCTAAAGGTGCAAGTAGTTTCAAAGTAAATTTTGGAAATATGATGCATAAAAGTAGTGAAAATAATGATCTTTTTATATTTTTGAAAGTATGTCCTAAGAATGGAAAAGCCTACAAAGTGCTTATTAGACTCCTTGGAACCTTAGCACAGATACACGTGCTAATCACAGCATGGTAGCTAATGTAGCCTTGTTGAGGCATTCTCGTAAGCAATACTCATTATCCCATCGTGAATATCAGAGGGTCAATCATCTAACGAAGCAAGTCCATTGTCAAGACAACCCATAATGGACATGCATGTGCAAAAGTGATCTAATGCGATGTGATCACCCAACAAAGTAGAAATGTTCAAAAGATGACAAACATTTGACACTAGTATTTGGATACATAAACTAACGACAAATGCTCCAACAGTGCAGAGTGATGCATGCAAGACATAAAACACAAGCAAGGATGAGTATGTCGAGGAGTAGTGACTCAAGAGTGAGTGTGCCGAGGATACAGTGAATCGAGAGTGAATGAATCGAGGTAACGACTCGAGAGTGAGACCTACAAAAATCTGGAACTTTGTCATCGGAAGTCAAGAAATATAATTCTCGACGGAGAGAATTACATGTCGGATAAACTTAGCGTTGAGTCATCCACGACCCAAACTTGTGGCTATCCAGAACGAGTATACAAGAACAGTGACTCAAGCAGGCTCAAACATGCGAGTGATGCAACATGTGGAATGTCAAACAAGACAACTATGCAAGTTTTCTTGACTGTAAGTGCAAACATACAAGATGTAATGCGCCGCGACATAAGGTGTAGAGTAATGTACCGCTAGGAGGCACGAGTACTCATCGCGAACATATGAGGGCATATGCTCGCAAATGCACTGTAGAGTGAATGTGGATGCACTAATGCAGGTAATGTGAAAAGCATGTGAATAATGTAACATATCAAATACAAATGATCGACTGATTGATTGGACCGGCAGTGGTAGATCGGGTCGGTGCGAGTGGCCGATTAATGACGGATTGGTCAATTGACATAATCAGACTGGTGGCAGTCGATTGATCAAAATGACTGAGGATAATCCGTCATGTAGGAGTATGCGACTAAAGGGTGGTCAACTGACACAATCGGTTTGTGGCGACCTCACCCGATCATTTGGACCGAAGATGGTCGATCAGACCAGAATGTGCAATTGATAAATGAAGGATGGTCGATCAATATGATCAGGCTGACAGCGACCGATTGATCGAGTGGACCAAACAGAGTGGGTCGAGTCAGCTTGGGCGGTCGATCAACGAAGCATGCATAAACAAATGGTTTCTTATGCATATTTTAAATTTATGCAATGCACGCTTTGAAGATGCAAACATATGGAACATGAACCCCGATTAAATTCTACGAAGAATCATGTTGTCATAGCGAGCTCACGGTAGACCTAGGGTAAAACGATAGAGAGGAGCACCAATGTCATGACACCCAACTTTGTTTGCACGATGCTAGATGGGGAATCCCTCGCAAGGGGTATTGTCTGCGATAAAAAAGATGATGATTGAAGGAATGCCCTTATTTTTCTGGTCGGTGGATTTCAAACCTACATCCATATGAAATCATCGAGGCAAATGACGAGATTAGTACAACCCCAACTTTCAGATTTTGGCTAAAACAAAAAGGTGGTAGGTTTTGCTCCGAGTTCATGAGGGGAAACACCTAAATATATGGGGTTTCCTCTACGAACACAAAAAATCCTAACATAAATCCTCTAACATCCAAAACTAGGGAGCTTTAGGAATGAAAATCTGAAAAGATTAAGAAATTTCACTTGCCTAATGGTTGATCGAAGTGTTTCTCTTGTAGGAAGAAGTTCTTATTGTCGAAGAGAATGACGAGGATGTCATATTTTTTCTCCAAAGTAAAGAGGAAGCTCTCCTCACCAAAGAAGATGGCAAAATCGTAAGAGTTCTCCTTTGCAATGCTAGGATGAACCTTTCCTCTTTAGCTCGCCGGAAGTCGTCGGAAACGAGGAAGATGACCGAAGAAGTGGAAGAATAGTTGAGGAAAATGGGAGAAATGGGTTTGCATTATCTTCTTCTTAAGGAAGAGGATGGAAATACTCAAGAAAATCTCCCTGGAAGCTCTTGAATCTCCATTTTGCTTCAAAGCCCTCCTCCAATAACAGTGACGCCTCTTCCCCTGGTTGTACTAGTCATAGGAAGAAACATAATGGTACCAAGTTGTTTTCCCCATTTGACTTGGACTAATGATGGTTCTTATGCCATTTTGAGAGAAGAACCAGACAGAATGAGGGTGGACCACATGTCAAGGCCACCTCATAAGCGGGAATTTGGGGTTTAGAGGCCAAAAATCATAAAAGAGGTTCAGTTGGCACGGCTACACCACATTCTAGTGTGGTCACACCACTGTAATATTTGTCGTGAATGAAAGCCCCGGTGTGGCCATGTTCGAAGCTCAATGTAATTAAGTCAGGTGCCCTTTATGGTCGTCGTAAGTATGCCATCCTCAGGCGTGGCCACGCCGCCCGATGGACTTAGGAATCTCTCGCAATTTGGCCATGGCCAAGCCTAAGTTGTGGCGTAATTATGCCAAATTCTTTGTTTGGTCGGTACAGTCACGCCACCTTCGGGCATAGTCATGCCAAAAATAGGTCATTTGGGCTCTTTGGGAAGGTTTAGGCGTGGCCACACTCAATTTGGGTGTCATCACACTACTGGCTAGACGTGGACACACCTAAATTATGCTTGGTCTTGCTAGACCCTAGAGACTTTTGACTTTTCAAAAAAGTCCATCGAAGGGGTTCCAAGTCTCGTGGGACCTCCGAAGGGTCAGATATGAGCAGTTATGATCCTAGAACCTCTGTGAACATCTCAAATGAGCTCTAGAGGGTGAACCCTCTATGTATTGCCCAGTAGAACAACTCCAACATGAAATTCGTCCATCCATACCTTAGTCTTAAGGTACGAACGGGTTGGGGCAACTACACTAACGATTCACATTATGATAATATCTGTATAAGTCAGATACAATATTGTGCCACAAAAAACAAATGAAAACGCAGAGGATGTCGAAGGTGATTCCAGTCTGACACTAATCGACTTGGAGCACGACTATGATGATGTGGAGCCCAATTATAGTGACGTGCCACTCAACGAGGATCTCCTGTATATTATGCAACAAAAATGGGTGCCAACACAACCCATTTGGGGTCATAGTTCAATCTTTTGTTGTTATGCATTGGCACTACCTTCAGATAAGTGTTTTTCGATCTCCTGCTATGGCTATGATGGCTCTTAAGACCTTCATGATTTGACATAACAGTTGATCCATTATTTGAATTCTTAATTCCATTCCTCGTTGTATGCATTCCTCCATGTCTTCTTTGATGTGTTATGCGCGGCTGCTTTTCTCCAACAACTTTCTTCTCTTTGTGATCATTGCGCTTCTCTTTTTGTTGATGATAAGACTCCACATTCACCGTACATTTTGAGACGTTGAATAAAAATTTGTCTGGGAGACACAACTAAGAAATAGAGTGCGAGGAGGAAGATGAGGAAGAGAGCAGACGACCTAGCAATGAACAATAAAATTGTTTAGTCTTTATTCATGAAATGAACCCCACAGGAACGGGGGTTGTGCAATTATATTTTGCACCCCTAAAGTAAATAGGTACGACAAATTTATTTTGGTCTGCAAATAAATATAGAGCCAGGAGCCTGAAATGACACTCAACTTGACGGGCCCGGGAGTCTGAGATGGCTACCGGGGCGGATGGAGCCCAGAGTTTGAGATGACTTCCAAACCAGATGGGGACGGTAGCTTAAAATGTCTTTCAGCTAGATAAATCCTAGAGCCCTTGACAGTTCATGCCCGACTTTTATGGGTCAGACAACTATACAAAAGAGTATTGAGGGAATTGCTTGTAGCTCGACCTGATTGGAGAAATGTTGTTAATTTTTGTCTACGTGAGTCTTGTTTTGATTAAATTTAGGAAGGTGGTCAAAATTTGTCATTCTTTGGATTGTGCCTTACGAGCTCGATGACATCAGATCATCTCGTCTGCCGGTCGTCGGATCTTTTTAAGATTTGTGCTGATATGTTTTTGATGCACACATTGTTTTTACAATTTTGGCTAAAAAACAAAGTCTACTTTATTGATTTTCAACTTTAAACCCCACGTGAAGGCTAAACCCTACTGAAGGCCAAAGAGCGATTTGGGCACTTGCGAACCGTAGGTTGCGCACGAGCTGATACCTGGTTGCAATGTGGCATCGCCGACTTCTGCGCGGCTGCAGCTCGAGCTTCCTCGAACCCTAACCCCTCGTTTCCTTCTAACCTCCGCTCTCTGCAAATTTTCGCCATAGCTGACGGTCTTCTCCATCCATGTCGTGGCTAAAATCCGCCGTCAGAAAATCCGTCGAGGCCAGCGGCAAGCACAATCTCACCCGCGCTGCACGCAATTATGCGGATACCGTCGTCCATGACGTCCGTCCGGCTGTTGCTGATAGGGTTAAGATCCAACACGATTCGATGGTGAGTGCGATTTCACGCTTGTATATTGTTTCTGAGTTAAAGAAAAAAAAGTCATCAATATAACCATCGGGAGCAGTTTCTTGAAAGCTTTTCGTGTTGGATAGGAAAGTAGTTTTTTTTTTCTTAAACTTACTTTACTTGTTTTTTTCCCTTTTGCCGTCTCTCTTGTTAAGTTCTTTTTCCAAAAACCGGATTATTCATTGTTTCTTGAAGTTGGTCATATTATCGCCCGCATTTTAAGTTTGCTAATTTCCCAGAAGGTTTCTTGGCAATTGGTCTGCTTGAGATTGCTGATGTAATAAAATTGAGGGAACTTGCTCGCTAGCATGATTAAATGAGATATCCGATGCATGATGTGCAGATTATTTGGACTTGCTTAAGTAGCTAATTGTGGAACATTTTCTGCTGTAGCAGCTGGAAGAGTAAAATTAATAATTTGCTTGGAAGGGAGGAAAACCAGCTTAGGGTGAGTTTGGAGCGGGGGTGCGACGGCGGTGTGGTGCCGCACCGCAGTGCTTCCTATTTTTGTAGAACTGTTTTTTTCCCGGGTTCTCAAAAAGTTGCAGCTAAAAACTGGGTTTTCACACCATAGCTGGCTACTTATCGTGGTTGCTAGAAAACTGGGGTCCAACTTTTTTTAAAAAAATTCTTCATAATAGCTACTACAGCTTTTTGAATTGCACCTTTTTCTTCTGCAGCTTCTTTAAACAGCTGTAGCTGCCCCAAACAAATTCTTTGTAGCATAGCTTGTTCTGTTATATTCCTTTACTGTAGTATTCTCTATAGATGGTCGTTTTTTGATTTTGTTACCCTTATTTTGACTATGCACTTGTATCATAGTTCAAATTTCAGATCAGCACTCATTGGTGCCAAAACTACCGAATGAAAAAGTATTTTTTGAATCATTTGTGCATTCATTTCAAAGTTGATATTTCTACACTTTTTTTGATGGCATTGCCTGGAAAACTTGATGCTGACACTGAAATTCCAGAGACAATTTACAATAGATTTTGAGGGGCAAGGAGGGGGGCCACTTTACTTTCTTATATAAGTGCCTCGGGTTATACTCGGCCACGAGGTTCTCAAGCTAAAAGCCATGTCTTTATTATGCTCTTTCACGATGATTCAATTTATTAGTTATCAAATCATATGTATTTGTCCATCTTTTGATGTTCAATAGAACTAACATTTTGTGACATCGATAAAAGAGATTCAAGGAAAATATACAATAAATTGCACAAGGGTAAGAATCTCTTTAATAGGCATAGATAATGCATTTTATAGTTTCCTGTTTTATAAAGCTTAGAATAGTAATCCACAATTTGATTTAGAACAATATAATCAATGGCTTTAAAACTAAAAGTTCAAGCACTCACACTATTTTTTAACTTTGTAATTGATGGAGGCTTAAACTACCAACAGCTAGTGGCTTCAGCGGATGCTCACAGTGGGCAGTGGAGGCGAGTAATAAATCCTAGTATTAAATTGCACCGCTATTCATCTACTTCAAGGATCTATATAAGCTATATATGCACCTGTTTTAGGAAGTTTTATTACATCATTTCAACCCACCTGCTTTAGTTGAATGCTTTGTTAAAAGAGAGAGTGATTCTTTTTTCAGCGTTATTTAGTCCCTTTAGATCTTTTTTTAACAATCCTATTTTATTCATAACAATAAAACCATTCTCTATGTCCTTCTTCTTTACTTGAAAATCACTAGATACATCATATTTTGTCATGCCATGTGATTGATATGTTATTTGATTCGAACTTTGCCATCCATGATGCTACAACCTAGGATAAGTCCTATGATCTCTAACAATCGACTACCAAACTCCAACTCATGATGGTGGATATTTTCATCGTTTATTGCAACATGCTTCCAAAACCATTGACTTTACTCATTATCAAGTCTAGTTGCATCATTTCATATGCCATAAGAGCTATGTGTGGTTGAAGAGGGCATACTGAGCTTAACATATGAAATTTTGCATCAACCCCAATTTCTATAATGTCACACATCTCAATTGATTTTGGCCACCAATCTACTAGCACACACAATAAAAAATTCCATTCAGGGCATTTGTGTTGCATGATTGACTTAGATGTTAAGCTCTATTTTGAAGTTTTTTTATTTTTTTATTTTTTTCTTAAATGTGAAAACTAAGTGAAAGAAGGAATTTTAATTTTTTTATCAAAAGGCCTCTTTTTTGAGGCAACAATAAGAAGTTTCCAACTAAGTTGTCATTGTAAGAACCTTTTACATATTTGCTTGTATGTCGAGATGAAAAACAAACTGGTTGAAAGTTTTTGTTGATCTTTTGCAATCTTTGCACCACCAATTTCTTCTTTTAAATAAGAAATTGATCTAAGTGTAGCTGGATACACCAAAGTGGTTTACACATATATAAGCCGGTCTAACTTGAATGCAATTAACAATCATTTGTTTACATGATATTTAAGTAGGTTGAAGGTAATTATCTGTGTTGATTTAATTTTACGCTGCTGAATTATTTTGGGAGAAGCTATTAAATAGCTTTAAAAATGGAAGAAAATTGAAAGGAGTCTTTGCAAAGAAATAAATGTTTGTTTTTAATTTTGGAACTTTGAAAGATAAAAAAGTGGTCATTCATTTGGTTTAGTTTCCATGTTTTATGCTAAATTGATTTAGAAAAAGCGTGTAGTTTAGTTTTTTAGTAATATATTTCACATTACTTCCATTGCTGATAATAAAATTTTTTGGTGTTAATCAAACATATATGCAAATGATTAAAAAATTAAGCTTGAACATGAAAGCATCACAACCATATTGGAATTCTTTCTTAAAAAAGAGCAGTGAAGCTCCCATTAGTAAAATGTGTTTTATGTGAGTTTTCCTTCGGTAAGTATTGTTATGAAATTGGTGCATTGTTTAATCCATGGTGCCTGCCATACTTTGTCAAGCACGCCATAACAATTTGGTAGAAATATGCCTCCTTATGGTAACAAAGTTATTAATTTATTTTTGCTTAATGATACTAAATACATTTTGACACCACTTAATCATATTCCATCGTTAGGATATGGAAAATGGAAAGTGAATCCTTTGTCATTGAAGCAATCAATGAACACATTAAATAAAGAACCATTTTACTTTTATTGAATGTGAAAATGAGGAAGTGGAGGAAAAGATAATGTACCTGATCTATTAAAAGATTTATGGACGTCACACTTTCTGAGTTATTTAGTGTATTAAGATCTTTGCATAACATTTAACATAAAATTGATATTTTGAAATGCGGCACATTACTTACACACTTTCACTGTTGTGCGAGTCTAATGGAACTTGCTGATATTTTATGATAGGATGAGAAATTGCTTAAAAGGGCTTAATTAAAGAAAGGTTAAACCCATGTGTAGTGCCTATTTCTTTTCACTTTTAAAAGGAATAAAACATACAAAATATGTGAGAATATCCATGCTATTTGTAGAATTACAATCATTTGACTTAGCTGCATGCTATTCATGTTGATTTTTACATAGGCCATTGATTATTTCAAAAATTGATCTTAACGGGCCATAATCAATTTAGAATCATACACGAGGATGAGTGAAAAAAAAATTGTTAGATTTTATGGGGTGTCTATGAATAAATCATTATGCCTTCTGGTTCATCAAACGAGGCTTGCACATTCTAACATTTTTTAAGACCTTTTCTTAATATTTTGTAGATATTGATGTCAATGATATACTTATATTTAGTAAATTTAATGACGAACTATCTTTTCATTTGTGAAAAATTCTTGACATTTTTAAAAGAAGAGACTATTTTAAATCTTTTGAAGTGTTCTATCATGAATAAAATTGTATTCTTTTTGGGTCATGTAATTTTTTTTCAAGAAGTTTAGGATAGTAAAAGCCATTTGTTCAGCTCCCAATTCCAAAATCCTTTATTGAGATAAGAGGCTTCATGGTTTTTCTATATTTATCGTCATTCTATTAGAAATTTTATTAATATAATTGCTACTTAATCTATTTTCTTGAAAGCTACAATTTTGTACCACTAATATAGCTCATGATGGTTTTAACTTGATTTAAAAGAATATTAAAGAAGTAATACATTGTCGATATTTGATGATTTTTATTTATGTTGAAGGTGTTGCATTCAATATTGGTATTAATACTATAATAATTAAAATATGCATCTAATTGTCATCTTATATAATCTAAATGATGAAAAGTATATATTATGTATGATTTAATATTTTTTCACTAACCTTTTTTTTATAACTATTTGACCTACTTGCAACTAAACCAAATACTACACTCACATTCCTTAAGAAAATAAGTTAATAATAGAGAAATAACTTTCCACATTTTATTATTTGCAGGTTTCAAACATTAAAAGACTAACATTAGCATATTTTATTTGATTGTTGGTATTGGGAAGGGGATAATGATGATGATATTGTATGTAGTTTTATGGCTTGAATCCATTTTCTTGTGGTTGCTAATTTTATCTTAGTCGTACTGTAGTCTATACTCCTTTTCCTATATTATATTCTATATTTCGTCTGAGGTTTTAAAAATCGGACCGGACATTATACCAAAAGAAAAAATGTTCAAAAGTTTGAAGGTGGACCGAGGGTTGAACATGTTAATATTATAAACTTCGAAATTGTTTAAATATGACTTAAGATAGTATAATAAGTATATTCTATGTATATTTAATTTATTTAAAATTTTAAAAAACTATAAATAAAAATATAAATAAATATTGTGATATGTTTTGTCAATTATTACAGCCAATTCTCATAGTCCAACCCAATTTCTATATCCCGACCCAACTAGTGTCCATAATCCAACCCAATTCTTCATTCCTATAATTATTCATATAACTCAATTAGTCTTTGATCATAGATGAAAGCAAAATTTTTTAGCTTTAAATTAAAAAAGAAAGAGGAGCTTGTAACTCACTTTGTTGCTGGGGATATTGATTTTAATTTGCATGTTGATTTAATTTTTATATCATACATGAGAATTTTAAAAAAAATATATTTTTAGCTTAATAAACCTATTTACAATCAACTACATCATTGAGTAATGTTAATTAAAAGCTCTAATATTGAATCGGTTGCTGTTTAACAAAACTTGATTGAATTGGCCGATTTTTTTCAAACTGGTATTGATTGACAGTTTGTCAGCTGAACTGCTGGTTTGTGGCGGTTATGGATTATTAATGTGGGAGTCCATTTTTGCATGAATAACTATCAGAGTTATGAGCAGTTCACGGTTAAACCAGTCGAACTGATTGGACCAGCTTAGTTTTTTCTTACAGCATCATTGAAACACCAGCCTTTGCCCATCATCCATGTTTGCAACCCTTTAATATGATCTCAGTTATCTCACCATATTATACATGGTCTGCTTCATATATTTCTTGTTATATTGCTTTCTATGTTTTGGCTTTTTTTTAAAGCATGTGCTACCCATTAATTCTCTACAATTTGTCACGTGTAACTCCAGATCTTGTCATATTATCATATCCCTTTTTTCCCATCATAAATTAGTACTCTATCCTATGAATTCAATTTTTTTTCTATTATACTTTATTGTAATGTTTTATTTTTCCGATTATTTTAATAAATTTCAATAGGTTTTAAAAAGTGATTGTATATTAAACATGGTGACGATGTTTTTGGCACACTCTTGCAGCATTGGTTGATTACAGAGCACAAATGTGGAAATCCTCGCCAATTCAGTGTGTTTAATGAGTTTTCAAAGCGACTTAAGGGAGAAGCGAAAAGGTAACATCAATTTTTTATTTTGAGTTGTCTTTCACTTTTTTTCCAACCAAGCTATTAAATTGATCCAAATTTAGGATGAGATGCATTTATGTTTGAGCAGCTCTAAGATTTATATCTAGATTGATATGATTGATCTTTAGTGACAAAAAATTTTTTTTTGATACAGAGGAAAGCTTTTTTTTGGTGTTAAAACTTTGAGCCTGATTTTTTTTTTTAATTTTTTGTTTATTTTTTTTTAACCTGTATTTTGACTGTTTTATTTAAGGTTGAAGGCTTTAGTTAAGAGGGTCATCAACAAGTCGACAATATGAACTTTTGTGCTTGAATAATTTACTTTTCAACTGTGCCGTGCTGTTTTCTAATACGTTAAGGATATTGTTTACTATTTTCTACCTTCACTTAGGCTAGTTTTTTTTGTTTTGTTTTTTAACGGGCTTTTATTGGTTTATGTGTTTTGATATAACTGATAAGTCGGAGATACCTAGTGAAATGAGATAGATTCCCAACTTATAGAACCTAGGTCACCGTGCCATATTTGTCATTTATTCTGGACATGCATGATCTTTTTGAATATTTCAAAGAGTAAGTAGATGAATAAGATTTAGTTGTATGGGATATATTTATCTCTCACAAAAATATTTATTTATTTAAGTTCTTGTTCCAGTATATTGAGTCTCAATTAAAAGATAACTGCTTGTTTGCTTGATGACAGCAATCAAGAATTTCAAAGATCTATTAAGGATCTAAATGAGAAATTGGGAGTTGTTAAAGAAGATCTGAAGATAAGGTAAACAAATTTCTTTTAATCATCTTTAAAATTTGTGGTGACAGTTCAGAAAATAAATAGTGTCTCCAGATTTTTTCTTCAAATGAAGATTTAAAGATACTTCTTATTGATAATTGCAGAACAAGAAAGACCACTGAAAAACTACACAAGAGAGTGGATGATGTTTGGAGTGAAGCTGAGGCAACATCAAAGAAGGTTAGTTTAATATTTTGGGCATTTACATTCATACCACACAACTTTTATGTAATTGCATATCTAACACCTAAACTTTACTTTTTTACATTTATACCACCCAAATCTTTCTCATCACATTAAAAATACCACCATTTTAAAAAGTGAAATACACCTTTCCATGCATAGGCTTGGTACTACGTATTTAAAAATTGAAGTTTAGGTGTTAGGTATATAGTTACATTGGGAATGAGTGGTATGCATGTAAATCTTTATTAATATTTTTGAGTTCAATGCTTAGAGAATAAATGAAGTTGTTTCTGCATGTAAAAAAAAGGCTTTACTGGTTAAGCTTATGGTCAGCTTCAATGATATTATTGATGCCAAAAGGGTGTCTTATGATACTTGTATTTTTGTTGCTATATTGTGGATGGCGTTTAGATATGAAGTGCCATATATGTAGCTATCTTTTGCAGCTGTTTCTTGGACTATTGGGATTTGATATTATAATTTTTTTTTGTATTTTCTATTGAAAAGTACTTTGTTGAATATGATTCTGGCCATTTGGGAGTAGAGAATATTGCTAATGGGTTATACATTTCATTACTTAATAGGTTTCTGCTACAAAAATGCCAAAATATTAAATCTATTGGCTATTTAAAGCAAATTAAGTTTTGATTGAGTTTGTTTGGACAAAGTAATGCTCGAAGAAGTACAAATGAAGAGACGTACCAAAAGAGGTGCCATTAAATGATGACATGTACTTATTAATTTTGCTTGAAATTGCATCATTAATAAGGGAAGCTGCATATGTGATTTATGGCGAAATTTTACTTTATTGTGTAGGCGACCTAGTGTTTTTGTTTGTGTTTGAGTTTGTCTTGTTAGGCCCAAAAATAGGGTTTAATTAATTTCTTTTATTGGATTAGGGATAATTAGCTAGAATCTTATTACCTAAAATTAATTTATTTAAATTTGTCAAATTTTCAAAGGCTAAATCAAGCCAATTAAGTCGTTAATGGATATTCCAAATTAATTTATGAAGTTTTCATTAATTATGTGGTATGTTTATGTTATATCAGTTTGATGATAATAATTTCAAGATGGGGCTTAAGGTGCTCATTTTTCTCCGTCCAAATTTCATGGAAAAAACATGTATGTGTCAGACTGATATTTGCTGCCACCTGTTTGTTTGATAGATCGGTTGGTCGGGACCATTTCTAGAAAGCTCTTATTGCAAGCAGGCTCTTCGAGCCAATTGAACATGATGAAATCACTCCATTTGCATGCAATTCGTCTTGCAAAAGTAAAACATCTAAACTTCTCAAAGGCATTGCAACCTTTATAAGTGACTAAATCACTAGTTTTTCATGGTACTAGATTGTTATCAAGAAGGAGAATTTTTTGCCGTAAAAATAGCAGAGCTCTATAGCCGTTTTTCGTTGACCTTCAATTTTTTTTCTCAGAATATTTGTGATGTACGCATGCATTCGATTCACAAACCATCATCTGATATATAATATAAGGGATTTTTGATAAGGATAATAAAGTTTACACATTTCTTTCGCATGAGATTAATAGTTAAGTCGACTCAATTGTATGTGAAGGCTCAATTGTATGTGAAGGACACTGTGAGATTGCATAGAGTACCCAATGCGATTGTGCCTAATTGAAATAATAGGTTTACTTTGAGGCTATGGCGGGGAAGATGATTTGGGTACATTATTAATGTCACCATAGGTTTTCATTTTCAAAAGGATAAGCAATAAGAGAAAATTAACTAGATTTTAGAAGAGCTATTGAGATTATGTGTTCCAAATATTGCTTTTTGCTGATCTATTGATATTTCATGTTTTGGATTTTGGCCACGGTTGATATGATTAGATTCTAGGGATAATTACATATACTGCACTCGAAATACTGATATGTACAAATTTGGCACCTATGTGATTTTTTTGAACCACCGATTCAATGCATTTACACGAGCCACGATCAAACCATTGAGAATTTGTTAAAAATGAAAAATATGGGTTGGTGGTGTTTTATCATGTTTTATCATGAATTTTGATATTTGAGTGAGAATTTGAAAAATCGAAGAAAGGGGGTGATTGTTTTGTAAATAGTAATGTTTCAGGGGCTATGTATGTAATTGCCCCTAGAATCTATTGGTTAAGTTTGTGTACAATAATAGTTTTTAGTTTGATATTGAAATGACATCGTATAAATTCTTTTACAAGAAAATGTAGAATATCTTTAAGTTGGATTGAAATTGGAGGAAGGAGGGTGTTGGGGGCCATAAGAAGTTGGTGAAGTCATTAAAAATATTAGGGTTATCAAAGAAATAAGCAATGTTATCTTGCGGACAAAAAAAGTGCTATAATTTCAAGCATGGAGTAGCATTCATGAAGGTCACCCATTGAAAGTAAGGAGATTTGAGAGTAGAAATTAGTCCTCTTTTGAAAAAAGAGAGAAAAAAATTCTTTTATCTGAAGCTTGCATTAGAGTCTCACATCCCTTACTTGCTCAGATTGCTATAGTAACGTCTGTGTGCTTTTGCTTCTCACCTCGCATGCCCTCTTTGTTGGTAGCTGATGCGCTAGGAAAGCCTCGTCAAATCAATCATGAAATCACTAAGGGTCTGTTGGTAGCTGCAGCTTATCCAACTTATGTTGATAAACAATTTATTCAGACAAACTGCGTATTAGCAGTTTATCCTGATAAGCTGGTTGATTGTTTGGTTTGTACGTTTGGAAAACAGTTGATTTACAACTGTTTCTGGATAAATGACTATTCTTCCCCACATCTGAATATCGTACCATGAGATAAAAGTGTCTCCAACCCTCTCAATGACTGTCAATGGAACAACTAAAATCCTGACAGGTATTTAGACAAAAATATTGCAACAGGGAGCTCAAGCTACTTTCTTTTTGGGTAAAATGCCGAATCACAAGCGCTTTTAATTGAAATTTGGAAGATTTACCAATACTGACACCAGAACCAAAGTTGCTCAATATCTGGGCGGTTCAATTCCACAATTTTGAAGCATTCATAAGCAGTATAAGCGTACCCAAGAACCAATCTACATATATGAATTAATCAAATTGCATTTTTAAATTTTGATTCGTGAACAAGCCTTCTAAAACCAGATAACATATTACAAATTAAATGCAGAACGATCCAGTTTGCAAAATTGCTTACTCGAGGGATCTGGTGAGAAAAGATTCTGTAATTTTGGGCCTATATTATATACATCAAACAAATAACCACTTCCAAGTCCCCGTCCACGATATTTTGAATACAACCATCAGTCAAATAAGAAATTCCATAAATTGCATATCCTTGGTTACAAATGCATCTCAGTAGCAAATACGAGAAAGTGTTAATACACAAAGATCTGGAAAATTTTATAAGAAAATGAAACATGCAAATACGAAAGAAGAATAACAAATTTGGCTTAGGATCACCAACCCTGCACATCCACATTTTCACATTTTATAAACACCCAAAGCATTAAGAATACTTCGTTAATCCGAACTCATTGAAGAAGATATTCACATTAATAAACTCGAAAACTAGTAAAACAACTTCAAAAAATAATAAAAAAGAAGTTGAGAAGCCAAACAGAAAACCTAGCAAATGTGCAAGGAACCTAACTTTAAATCAAGAATAGAAAGAATGATAGAAAATCACAAATTTCAAGAAATAGAGCAAGGAATAGTGATCGATATCTCGTCGGAACTTTCCGCGAGAGAAAAAGAAACACAGAAACAAGACCGCCGGATTACGAAGATCTCTAGGAGTCCGATAGCTAGCTCTTCGTCTTCGTAAGTGAAATGAAAAAAAATGACGCATCGGCCGCCGTTTCTCCGAGATAGCGAACCGTCACAGCCAAATGGTTAAGCTCTCAACTTTGCTTTATTTTTAGGGTCTGCGCAGAATAAGCAGTGCCGAAGGAACGCGGAGGAGTGTCGAAGGAACGCGGAGGAGCTCTACGAGCTCGATGACGAACGAAGAAGGAAGAAATGCCGAATTCGGGAGGGGCAAGGGCAGCAGGGTAATTCGGGAGAAAATGCGACGTGGGAACACGGCCCGCAGGGATGACCCAACAGTAGGGCTGTTTTAAGCAGCCCCAAACTGGCCTCAAGTCATGAGCTGCATATAAAGCTGTAAAAAAAGCTCTTTGTTCGCTTGTGTTCAACTCGTTTTAGCTCGAAATAAAAAAAATTATATAAATATTATATAATAATATATTACATATATTATTTATATGATAATATATTATATAGATTTATATCTAAGTTAAAAATGTAACTTCTCGTGCGGTAATGTGGTTATACACTTTTTTTTTGCATACATTTGGTCCAGATTCAAATCCAACACCCTACATATATTTTTTCAAATTAATTTTAATGAGCCAATTTCGAGCGACCATAAGTCGAAGACGAACACGAATATTTAAATCGAGCAGACCACAAACACATCTTTCACGAGCCGGTTTCGAACACGAGCCGATTTTTAACACGAACAATTTCAAACGAACCGAACACGAGCCAAGCCTGAGCTCGCTCAAGCTCGGCTCGTTTTTTAGCCCTAGCTGCATGAATGACTCGCCTGCCTCGGCCATGTAGATCTCAAAGCACAAACTGCTAGCCCCATGAATTTTGTCATCTTCATTTCTTCGCTACTCTTTTTTTGAAAACAAAATTAGTTGACCCATCTTGATTTCATCTACTTTCTTACATGCTTGTTTGCTTGTTCCCTTTCTCTCACCACATCTCCGATCATCTCTCAAAATCACTTAGATGCTCAACCTTTTTTGCTCCCTGATCTTGCCCATATTCTTTCTCTGACTCATCATTCATGACTCCATTCCATGCGCTTTGTCTCCCACTACGCAATTCCCATTCCTATGCCAACGCCTATCTCCTTAGGCTTTTAGCTTCCTCATGCTTGAAGGCTACAAACTCAATCATCTTAAGTTTGTTGACATCAAATTTGACTTTCTTGCTTCTTCACCTCCTAAAATCTAGTGACTTCACGCCCAATCATTTGTAATATTTTGATCTTTTTCCTGCAATAAATCCTTGCACACAAATGTTGGAATAGAAAAAGTCTGATGGCTCCACATTCTTTTTATATTTGATCCTATAGGGGTGAAAAATCACCATGGGCATTCGTCGTATCTTCTTTTTTTTTATTCTGCCATAGTCCCATCTTCTTGTCTGTTGACCTTTGATTTGGCAGAAATTTGAAGACATTGAAGTTTTTGATACGGTCTAAAAATAAAAATCAGCCTTACGTCCAAGTCTGCTGATTTTATTTCCTTTGTATCTTTGATCTGATTTGGAAAAAAATGTCACCCCTAGCATTTGATGAATTTTTTGATCTACGACTAGAGTTTTGCCTTCTTCTATTTCTCTTTTGATTCAGGCTTATTGAGATGAATGCTCACCATTGGTGGCTATACCTGACCTAAACATTTTGTTAACTTCATTGTTTTTAGGTAGCAGTGTTGTGTATGACTGTTAAGTGGCTTCAGCATTGCTGACATACTCATGAACAACTGAAGGCGAGCAGGGTGTTATTCTCAGTGCTGAAATTTTTTTTGGGTAAGAACATAGCTGGCAGAGTTGCATTTTCTACATCGTAACCCATTGTAATCCGTTATTGATTTGTCACATTAGTTCTCAAAGTTACTCCCCAAAAGATAAAAATATAATATTTTGTCGCTGTACATTTGAGACAAACTTTAGATAAGAGGTATCATGTAAATACATTGGCTTATTACCAAACCAATCACATTTTGATTTTTTTATTATCATATGCTATGCCTTGCATAAGAAGTTCTAATTACAGAATAGCTCATGGTTGTGAAGACAAATTTATACAAATGCTTTGGCGAAACAACATAAACAGCTTCTATTTAATTCTGGCTTGGCTTTAATATGTTTGATGTGCTTTGAGAGGTAGTTTTGGCCTCAAATGTGTTTAAGGCGAGAAAAAAATTGGCGGGTAAATAACTTTTGTAAGTTATATCATATTCATGCGTTCTATGTATGATAAAATTTCCACATGCTAAAGAATATGAGATGAAATAAATTTGTGCAATACCTTAACAATTTTATTTTGCCACAAAACGTGAGCTATAACTCCTCCAAATAAATTGTTTAAAGTTTTTAAGAAGCAAAGTGCATCATAGGTAGGGATGTGCAAACAATTTATATGGATGGATCGGTTCATATATTTGTCAAACTTAATGGAAATGAAATCTAAATTTCGAAATATCAAACTAACCAAAATTTTGTTAAATTAATCCAAACCGAACCGAAATATAACTTGGTTTAATATGTTCCTTTTTTTACAAATCGAAATTTAGTATTGGGCTTAAAATTATTAAGAATCAAGCTTTTGTTTGGAGAGATTCTTCTCACCATTTTCCTCCCCTCTATTGTATTGTGAAATTAACAAAATAGTGGAGGCTTGCCATGCTGTGTTGGTAATGGACTATCCGGGGCATGTGAATTTAATTTCTCAATATAATATTACTTGGTTTAATAAAGTTCAAAATGGATCCAAAAATCAAAAACCAAATACTAAGATTTTCAAAGCAAAAATCCGAATCTACATTTCAAAATTGAATCAAATAATCCAAATGCTAGCCATTCAATTTGCTTGTTTGGTTTTGACCTAATAATGCAGATCCCTATTCATAGGCATGCCTAGTGTCTAAAACTAAAGCACATACATTGGGGAATTTGTAAGTAAATTGATTAAGTATGCTGATGCATTAAAGTACCTTTAGGTACCATTTTATGTCTTAAATGATCTTAACTCAATCCAATTGCTCTAGTAGATCCTTGCAGTGATGCAAGGTGGACAAGAGTAGCCTCCTAAGGATAATATATGACTAAAATGCCCTCTATATAATTAACTTATTGTAATACTCTCTCGACCTCAACTAAAATACATACAATATCAACTTTTGGTTGAAAATGCTAATAGACCGATGACCATAGTTTGATATTTTTGTCTCTTAGTTGATTTTTGGGTCTCGATGAACATTTTCTCTATTATGAGCTTTAATTATATAACACCTAAAAAACCTAATCAGTTGGGTCACTTAGCTTATTGGGCAAGGTTGCAGGATCCACTTTTGCTGATTCTAAACTCATGAATGGAGCAATAAGCCCTATCCTATAAATTAAAGCTTAGTTCTTTCCATCGATATAGGCTTTAGTAGTAATTTATTTTGGCACCAAGCCCATGAAACCGCTTGATCAAAACTCCAATTTTTTTAGTAGTGATTTATTTTGGCTTCTAGCCCATGTGCCCACTCGATCAAAATTCAAGCTTTGTAATGGACGTTAGCCCCAACCCAACTTTATACTAAAGCATGCTTCTATGCTAATAAATCTTCTATACGAAACTAAATCTATCAACCAAAAATATATGCATCCACCTAGGTCAACTCAATATTGTTTAGAGGAGACAACCTATGGTTGCTAATTAGATTCGATGAATGTAATAGCTTACTTCCCTTTGATGCTATTATATTAGGTTTATCAGTATACATGGGATATCAGGACTCTGCTATTCCAACTAGTTTTACTTCAATCATCCCAACAGTCTCCTATAAATTAATTGCAAACTTAAGCATTAAATGCAAACCTAATAAAGCATTCTTAATTGAGAGCACGCTCTCATCCTTGCGCATGGGTAATGCTAATTTTCTCTACATCGATCCAATTTTATTAGTTTTATCTGAAGAGACTACTCCCTATGTGAAAATTTGGATTAAAAAAATGAGAGTATATTTTCATAAGTGTGGGTTAATTAATTATAAGGGTTTGCACCCATAAGAATTAGATTTATGAAGTCAGGAATGTTTCTTTTCATCTTTGGAAGAGTTGCTTATGCACTCAATTGATTGCTCTCAGTTTAATTTTAAACTTAGTGAATGTTGAATCTATAGCAATTATTGTTCTATATGGTTCATTTTATTTAATATACACACTCGTGCAAAATTAAGTATTCATCTTTCTACCATAAATGATCCAAAATAAGTCTCAACAGAATAATGAAGCCTAGGATCACATAAGGGTCTTCATCTACTGTTTCTTTAAAATTATATGCTAAAGTTCTCATAGTAAATAGTTGGATTAAGATTCCTTCCATTAGCATGAGAAAATTTCTATGCTTCCTTGAGCTGTCCAAGGTGATGCTGTAACTAAATCCTACTATATTTAGCTATTTAGACCTATTCAATATGGTCTCAAATACATAATAATTGGATCTTTGTTCTTACTTGACATTATGGTGCCAAGGTTCCATCCTATCAAAATCTTTAAAGCTAGCCACCACTGTGTACTAAAATCCCTCTTTTTTTTAAGTTATTGTAAACTTAGAAGACTCATGCATTAAACCTTAATTGACAAGATTAAATACTTGACCCTTGATTTGGAGCCAAGGTTCCGTGCTATTAAAAATCTCCCAAACAACCTAGGATTGGTCGTCAAACATGATAAATAATACCCTTTAGTCGTGTCTGGCTTCAGGAAACCTCTTTAATATGGTAACCCATGATAACAAGAATGTTGTATCGTCACAATTTAGGTTTTCTTAGAAGTAGCAAGTCATAACGAGCTCAACGGTTTAGTGCTCGTGGTCGCAATATATTGCTCGACCTAATGTGTAGATATTTTACAAAGCTTTCTATCCTAAAGCTATTATCTTTTCTAAGGTTCCTTAGTAACATAGATTATTACATGGGGAACTTTAGATGCTAGAACTGTGGAATCTTGATAAATTTTTCAATTTTTTTCCCCTATACTGATCCCTAGTACTTGCAAATTTTGAACAACTTTTTTCAAATGCTCGAGCTGAGCGATTTCTTTAATTGAGTGTGCTATACCTTATGGGACAGGTAACTATGTAGGCTTGCATTCTTTAGAAATCTTTCGTCTCAGATCTAAATAAATACTAATCTAACAATCTTTCTAAATATGGTTAGGTACTGGAGGCTCAAAACGTTTCTGTTAGCAATCTTGCTCGCATCTTAATTTTTTTCTCTGTTCACTTTGCTGTAATAAAACATAATCTTACCGGAGGCTCGCATCTTGATTTTTTTGTTTGCTAACAACCTTGAGGACATTCTACCAGGTTTTAAATGCCATATTTATTTGTAAGTTGAGGTATTCATTTTGAGCACTTTAATTGTAGCTGAAGATGCTCTACTAATACAATATGTCGTGCTATTAAGACTTGACTATGTTTTTTTTTTGTGTCAACATTTTTATGCTAAGCGGTTCTAAATGTTTTATGATTATTATTATTTTTTCTTGTTTTACTATCTTCACCTGAGATAGGAATCAATTATTTCTGATCCAAGAAAGGTAGCTGCACAAGTTACCTATGCACATACTTGGTTTCAGATTTTTGTAGACAGCCATTACTGAATTCAATCCTATTCATCATATGCACCAACTATGAACCAATTACTTGCAAGATAGTTTTTTTCTATTATTCTAAAATATATTCTTCTTTATAATATGATGTTGCAATTTTCCGTCTTTTGTGCCTCACTTTTTGTTTGCGCTTGGTAAATTGTTTACAAGGGAACCTAATTTTGCAGGTGGCTGTGAATGTGAAAGAGAAATTGACGGCTGCGAAGGAAGAGGTAAACTAGTGCATTTTTCCGTGTTAAGATAAGACATTACAATGGACTATCACGCTGTTCTTTGTTGCTTTTTTGGGTAGGTCAAAGAGAGTCTTGGACTTGGAACACAGGAAACTTCAGGATCTTCCCACAACACAACCAGTGCAGACTCTTTCAGAGAAGAAGATGGTAACAGTGCGACAGCTAGATTAGAGAGTTCTGAAGGTTATGAGGCTAGCAAGTCTCAAGAACAAGCTGGAGAATCCGACACCTTATTTGGCAGATTTAAAATGAGATTTTCTGCTGCCTCTCCTAAATTATCATTAGCATTTAAGAAAATGCAAGAAACAAAAATTCATGATTTAGCCAAGAAAGGATATGATATGATAAGAGATGAGCTTAGTGCTAGCTCATCTAAAAGAAGGCGCATGCGTTATACATCTACTTCTGCATCATCTGATCCCAGGAGTACTCGAACTGATATTGTTATTGTGCCCTCCAAACAGTCACCACTGGGCGAGAGGTGGGAAGCATTTAAAAGGAAGGTATTTAGAATGCAAATTATGTCTTTTTGTTTTTTGATTTTTATTTTTTAATTTCAGGCATGCTTTGAAGTAATTTTTACAAATATTTTGCATCAGGTACAAAGTCATCCTATTTATAAGCGGGTGAGGGGAATTAGTGATCCTGTCGTGGCCAAGGGACAGGAGGTGAGGCTTCTTGGTTGTCTCCTATCTATGATTAAATAATTATTTCTTATTATTTATTTTTCTACATTGTTTTTGATGGAATTTTAATGGCATTTGAATTTCATATATTTATGTTGGCAGATAGCTGAGGATGTACGGGAGACATTGGAGACAAGTGATCATCCTCTTGTTCATAAAATTATAGAGTTCGCACTTTCTTTTATGTCATTTAATATGCTCCAATTTTTAAGGCATTTTATTTTGCTCATTTTTGTGACTGCAGTGCTTTGTAGAACAGCTTTTGATATTTCTATTTTGAAATTTAATGTTGCATTTGTTACTATGATGAAAAATTTTTATTGAAAGATTTTAAATTCTCCATGATTGTTTTATTTTATTTTGATGTTTCTATTCATCTTCTTTCTGAGCTTGATAATGGAAAAAAAAAAATAAGTGCTCGTTGATTTGATCAACTATAGCTAGTTTACTGCTAAATATGCCAAGTCTCAATCCTATATAAACATTTGCATAATTCATCTCTTTCCGAGAGGGCTGACCCATGCCATGTTTTTAATAGATTAACAAGTTATGGCAACCTTCCAAGAATATTTTAATTAGCTCCGTTTAGAAACTGCTGTTTAACTTGTTGGAATTAGACTATATTAACATATGTAGTGCAGACTTTGTCCTTGAAATATTTATCTACGTTTTATCTTTTCTGATGGTTTGGCTTTGTTAAACTCTATGCGGCGCTCTTCTTACCCTTTTAAGACTCTGCTTTTGTTTAATGTTTTTGACGTTTAAGCATGTCTGGACATTCTATTTTCTTACGTTCTAACCTGAAGTCCTTTTTAGTTGAATTTCAGAGAAAGACTATTCCTTGATATGTTTGTTTTCCATTTTGTCATTGGACGCATGCTCTACCCCTTCTATGATTCTAAGTTCTGACCTTTTATTTAATTTGAAATATCTTCGTTCCACAATCTATATCTGAATTTTTCACCTTTTAAATAGTGATTTTATGGAGAAATTTCTCTAAATTAATGACTTTTTGGATGATTTATTTTGGCTTTCTCCTTTAAACCCGAGGCAACATTTATTGGTATTTGGTAGGGTGCAGACTGCAGTGTAGTTAAACGTGCATTAGAGTGAATTGCTTTCTTAAGATGTAGTTTCTATCTTTTATGGCTTTCACTGCACTATCAATTTTTGTGTCAGGATTGATATTTTTGTGAATGAATTTTCAAATGCTTGGATGTGAAAAGTGGAGGGTCGCATCAGAAAGTTAGCGGCCAGTGTAAAATTTGTCGAAAAATCATGACATGAATCCTTTTGATCAGTGTGTAAATGTTAGAGCGTCTCTTGGAAGCGACATGCTACATGACCTGAATACAATGAAAACTGTGCAAGGGTCACTACACCGACGCCCAGGTTTAGTGTCAAATAAGCAAGGGTTCACACATTACGGCCTAAACCCCGGGTTTAGTGTCAAATAAGCAAGGGTTTCCACATTACGGACGAATGCAGGTAAAGAAATTAGTCCTTGAAACAAATATATTAGGATATGATCTTGGAATATAGGTACTCTCACAGATAAATTAATGAAATTAGTTGATATTATGATTCATAGAAAGATAATATCTCATGTATTCAAGATACAATATGGGTTGGAGAAAGACTAAGGGAATTGATAATTTTTGTTCTAAACTTTGGTTATCCAGGTAAGAGTCACGCTAGAAAAAGTGTAGGTATAATTATATATGAGTTTAAAAGATAATGTTATAAAAATTAATAGAAGTAAAGATAAAATTATAGCCCTTAAGATTATTGTTGATACTATAGTTTTTAGCATTATAAGTGTTTATGCTCCTCAAGTAGGTTTATATATAGGTTTTAAAGATAAATTTTGGAATGACTTAGAAGACTTAATACAAAGGATACCTCTTGAAGGAAAAATTTTTATTAGAGGAGATTTAAACGGACATGTCGGTAGAATGGTAGAATAGTTTAGAAATATTTATGGTGGCTACGGTTTTGGAGTGATTCATGAAAAAAAGATAGAGCTTTTAGTGTGTGATTTTGTTATTGCTAATATTTTATTCAAGAAAAGAGATGGACATATTATTATTTATAAGAATGGATCTAATAAAACACAAATTGATTATTTTCTTATGAGAAGAAGAGATCGTCGAGAATGTAAAGATTGTAAGGTCATTCCAAGTGAGAATTTAAGTATTCAACATCGATTATTAGTTCTAGATTTTAAGATGAAGAGCTGTAAAATAAATAATAATAGGAATCATTATCGTAGAATTAGATAGGGGCACCTAAAAGACAAATAAAAATATTTTATAAGTAAATTTCAAGATTTTAATATTTGGGATGTTCATGAAGGAATAAATTCTATGTGGGATAAAATAACAAACACTATTAAATAAGTGACAAAAGATGTACTTGGAGAATCAAAAGAAAAAGCTTCTATAAATAAATGTAATTGGTGGTGGAATAATAATGTGCAAGAAAAGATAAAATATAAAAAAGTTATGTTATAAATTGGTTTAATTGTTAAAGCTTAGAGAACAAGGAAAAATATAAAATGACTTGTAGGGAGTAAGAGAACAATCTGTGACGCTAAAAAGTCTATTTTTAGTAATCTTTATAATATATCATATATTAAAGAGAGTGAAAAATATATGTATAAACTAAACAAACAAAGATACAAGAAAAGTAAAGATTTAACTCAAGTTAAGTGTATTAAAGATGAAAAAAAAAGTGTTTTTCTTTGAAAAAAAATATTCAATATAGGTGAGTTATTTTGATAAACTTTTTTATAAAGTTTCTGAAAATACGATCGACCTTAGTGATCTTATGATTATTAATTGTAATAAAATGTTTCATTTTTACAGTCACATTAGTAAAAAAGAAGTTCGCAAGACTTAAAAAAAAAATCAAGGGTGGAAAGTCTGTAGGACTTGATGATATCCCATTTGAAGTGTGAAAATATATATGAGATTTGAGAGTTTCTTGGTTTACTAAACTCTTTAATATTATTTTAAAAACAAAAAAGATTTATGGGGAGTGGAGGAAGAGTATTTTGGTTCCCATTTTTAAGGATAAAGTGTATGCACAAGATTGAGCATATGATAGAGGAAATAAGTTGATGTGTCATATTTTAAAGTTATGGGAGAGGGTAATTGAACATAGATTAAGATGTATTACAAAAGTTTCTCATAATTAATTTAGATTTTTGTTGGGCAGGTCTACTATAGAAGCTATACATTTATCAAGAGGTTTGCAAGAGGTTTGATGGAGAATCAAGAGGTTTGATGGAGAAGTTCAGAGAGAATAAGGAGGATATACATATGATTTTTATTGATTTTAAAAAGCTTACGATAAAATTCTAAGAGATATTCTTTGGAGAGTTCTAGAGAAGAAATGTATTGATACAACTTATATTCATGTTTTTAAAGATATGTGTGCTAGGGTTGTTACTTGTGTTTGAACAGGAGGATTGACCAAATGTTTTTCTATTTCCGTTGGATTACATCAGTGATTGGATTTAAGCCATTATCTTTTTGCTTTAATTATGGATGGGCTTATTGGACATTTACGGGAGGGTGTAGGATGTACCTTGGTGTATGCCTTTAGCTTATAATGTCCTTGTCGTGGATAAAACTAGAGAGAAAGCTCAGGAAAAACTTGAATTATGGAGGTCTACATTGGAGTCTAAAAGTCTTCGTTTGAGTAGAACGTTTGAGTAGAACTAATTGAGTAGAACTAAAACTGAATACATCAAATGTAATTTTAGTAATATTAGCTCTAGTGATAGTGTTGTAACTATAGGTGATCAAATTATTAAAAGGTGCGAACGCTTTAGATATCTTGGGTTTATTGTTCAAAGTGATGGTGATATAGATGGGGGTGTTATTAGTAGAATTCAAGTTGGTTGGTTGGAATGGAGGAATTCTTCGGGCCTATTGTGTGATTGAAAAGTACCGCTTAGACTGAAAGGAAAATTTTATAAGATGGTGGTAGGACCAACAATGCTTTATGTGCTGAATGTTGGCCTTTAAAAGAGAAACATAAAACTAAGTTAAGTGTTGCTGAGATGAGAATGCTAAGGTGGATGAGTGGCTTTACACTTAGAGACAAAATGCGAATTGAATATATCTGTGATAGGGTTAGTGTAGCTCCAGGGTTAGTGTAGCTCCAGTGGCAGACAAAATTAGCGAGAGTCGTCTTAGATGGTTTGGTCACAACATAACACATTAAACGTCGACCACTGATGATCCAATTAGGAGAGTAGATGTTTTAGATTCAACTTATGTTATGAAAGGAAGAGGTAGACCTAGAAGACTTGGGCATATGGTATAAAAAATGATTTTAATTTATTAGAATTAAATGAAAATATGACACTCAATTGGACGAGCCCAATGCAAACAAAAAAACCTTTGTCGTGTTCGTCTCGTTTTTAAATTGAGCTCAAAAAAATTGTTAGTGTTCTGCTCGCTTGTTTAACGACAAATCGAACATGAGCTGTTCGCAAACGACTAGCTTTTTTGACAGCCTTAGTCTTGAATATTTTGGCATGCATTGATGTTTATGTCCCTTTATTGTTGATTGCTTAATTGTGCTTCCATGGCTGTTCTTTTGGTGAAGTTAAATTTGTTAGTGCCATGGATGCTGCATTAGTTGATACCTCTTATGAAAACATGTTTTGATTCCTACTTGGTCAATGGTGTTCCACTATCCAGTAAATTAATGCTCGATGTTGTTCTGTATTCCAGTAAATTAATGGCCAATGAGGCCTTTGAAATCCTTTCAAAAGATATGTTGAATATGATTATTCTAATAGTGTCGGTAATCAGATTTTGTCATTTGTTGGCTTATGTCTGTTAATTATTCTTATATGGCAGGATTGAAATCTCTTGTTTAATGAAATGGGAAGGTTATCGTTGAGTGAACATTATATGCTATTATCCTCAACATTCACTTCACTTCTACTAGTATTCTATTGCAATTTTGCCTTTTTTCTTGAGTTCTTTTAAAATTATATTTATTTTGGATATCGTTATTTATCATAATATTGGCATTCTTTTTGGCAGTTTGAATGAAGCTGTTTTTGGGGAGAATGCCACTGCTCTCTCATTCAAGGAAATAAGGCGTCGGGATCCGTAAGATTGAAATGGGATTTACATTTCAATTGTTCTTCTAATAAATGGAAATTTGCCTTTTCACAACACTTATGTTTTGATCTTTTGCTTTTCAAGGAGTTTCTCACTGCCAGAATTTGTACAAGAAATCCAGGAAATGATTAGACCTGTTCTGACTTCATATTATAAGGTGTATTTTCTGTATTTTCTGCCAATACTTCTTTTTGATAATTAGTAACTACAGAACCTTTGTTTAGATTCATTCATCTTAGATTTTTTTTTATTTGTAGGGTGATATTGAGACGTTAAAAAAGACCTGTAGTTCTGAGGTAATAGAACGGTGCAAAGGAGAGCGTATGGCCTATGAAAGTCAGGGTATTTATTTTGATAGTAAGGTACAAAATCATTTAATGTATTTGTTATCATGGTTCAGAGCACTGTACTTGTGGTTTCCGCTTTAATGTCATTGTCTGTGTGTTTTATTTTTTTTACTGGAAGTCTTTTACGATCCAATAGTGCAGTCAATATGATTACTTTGACCTTCAAGTGGTGGCTTTATATTGGAACTATTTCCTTTCTTGATATCCTTATGTAAGTTTGACGCCGTTCTTCAATTATTGTTGTGAAATCCAGCTAGAATTTTTATTTTGTTAGTTTGGAAATTTTCATTCATTCATCACCTTGTATATTATGGAAAATAGTTTTGGAGAGGAAAAATTACTTCATCTCTTTATTCACATGTTTATAGGAAAATCATTTCCTCCTAATTTACAAACTTATCAAATATATCTAATCTAAATAAGGAAAGAAAATAATTCTGAAAAAAAAAAGAAACATAAAATAGGAAGGGCATAAAACTAATCAAGAGGTTGCCAAAGTTGTTCCCAATCAAAACTTCTATTATTTTTGAAGTGGTTGTTTGGCCCACCATGAAAAGGAGCCTAAACTTCTCTGTTTTTCCCCCCCTCAAGTTGTGTCGTGGATGTTGTACAAATCAAGCTTGGAATTGAACTCTCAAAAGGTGCTTAAAAGAAGAGTTTTGTCGATGATATTAACAACTAGTTGGTTTGTCGGGATGTAGCTTAGTTGTATTGTTCCACCATTAACTTTCTCAAAGATAAATTGCTTATCGATTTTACTATGTTTGGTTCTGTCATGATGCACAATATTTTTCGCAATATTGATGGTTGCTCGACTGTCACAACGCATCTATATAAACCTATTTGAGGTACGCCTCATTTCATTTAATAATTTTTTAATACAAATCCCTTTATAGATTCTCAAGGCGAGTGTCTTATACTCTGATTCCGCAATGCTTCTAGAAACAACAATTTGCTTTTTAGTTCTCCATGTAACAATATTTTCCCAGACATAGAATCAGTAATCTATGGTAGACCTTCTATCATTGAGTTTTACAACCCAACTAACATCAATGCAGACTTCTACCTCTGTTTCTAGTTTTATTGAAAATCAATCCATAACCAAGAGTCTTCCTGAGAAACCTCATAATCTTATACACCATCTCCAAATGCTCTTCATTTGGGTTATTCTTGTGTTGGCTCACAATGTTGACAAAGTGCAATATCTGGCCTAGTACGCGATTGGTAGATGGGTTTTTCTACCAATCTTTGATCTTTGATATCTTCCCTTATCCATGAATATATTTTCTTCTCCTCTGTTAGATTTTTTTTTTGGGATCCATTGGAGTATCTACAAATTGGCATCCAATCCAATGATCTCCGTCTCCTTGAATATATATAAGTGAATTTCTAACGATGCTTTTCTTAGACGTTGCTACTTCCATTCTTAGAAAACATCTCATGGTTTCAAGGTACTTGATTCAATCAGTGGCAAACACTTCTTTGATCTTGAGAATTTCTCTTTTATCATCACCAATAAGAATCATACAATCTACATTTACTATCAGTGCAACAATCTTATCTCCCTGAGTGTGTTTTATGAACAGAGTATAATCAGTTTGACATTGAGAATATTCATTAGATCTCATAGTCTTAACAAATCTTTCAAACCACACCCTTGGTGATTGCTCAAACCTATAATAAGACTTTTTGAGTTCGCATACTAGGTGTTTGTTGGAATCATTCTTAAGTCTTTGTGGTATCATGTACACTTCTTCATCCAAACCCCATTCAGGAAGACATTTATTTATATCAAGTTCAAGCAGTTCTCACTTCTTCTCAACTGCTACTTAAGGGAGAATTTTAATAGTTTTCAATTTGACAACGGGCGTAAAAGTCTCTAATAGTCAATCCATAGGCTTTAGTGAAACCTTATACAACAAGTCTGACTTTGAATCTCTTAATACCTCCATCTGCTTTGTATTTGATGTTGGACATCCATTTGCATCAAACTAGCTTCTTTTCCTGAGGAAGTTTAATAAAAATTCATGTGTCATTATGATTTAGTGTTCAAATTTCTCTTCAACTACTTTCCTCAATTCTGGATTTTTAAGAGCTTTATGAATGAATGTAGGAATCTCTACAATATCAATGTTAGATACAAATAATTTATAGGTTGAGGGTAGTTTCCCATAAGCTGCCTACTCCCAAATTGGGTATTTTGCACAACTTTCCTTGTCAATAGCACCTGAAGAGAAAGATGATAACTCTTGAGTACTAGACTCACCCGAAATTTTAGTTAAATGTGGACTTGGATTTTGTTTGGATCGGTTCTTTCTTTGCAAGTAATCTTCCACCTGCTCAAGATTTTTCTTTCTCCTTGTGTGCATATGAAGTTCTTTGTTATGGACTTCAGGTGGGTTAGTTCGACATCTTCAATAAGGATAGAAGGGTTAGGCGGAAGAGGAGTAGTTTGTGAGATTGTGCATGCGTCATCAAGTGCATTCTGAAATTCATGTTCACTTGCACTCTCCCCCTGAGCATCAGACTTAAGTAGTAGGTCTGATTTAAAAAAATTACGGCATTCATGGAGTTGTATCTTTTGGTACCATGAGAGTAGCATTTATACCATTTTTTGTTGGAGGCAAACCCAATGAAAACGCACTTGATAGATTTAGGGTTAAGGTTGTGCGATTTGTGGAATGGATGTGAACAAAGGGCACACACCCAATGATTTTAAGTGGTATAATAAAGAAAGCTCTGATGTGAGGATAAGTAACTATCAAGACATAAAGTTGTGTTTAAGTTAAGTGCCCAATTAAGCATTCAATTGACAATATATGTTGCAGTAAGAACTCTCCCCTAAACATGTTTTGGAGTTTGATGGGATATGATAATTTAACGGATAGCTCAATGAGATGTTTGTTATTTCTCTCAGCTATACCATTTTTTTGTGGGATAGCAATACATGAATTCACATAAATTATTCCATTCTTTTAAACGAGAGTACTTACGATTGAAGTTGAAATATTTATTTGCATTATCAGTTTTGAGTATCTGAATTTTGCATTGAAATTGAGTTTGAATCGTGTTTTGAAAGGTTTGGAAGATTTGAGTTGTTTCAGATTTTTCCTTCGTTAGAAATACTGAAGTAGTTCTAGTGTGATCATCAATAAATGAGACATACCATCTAGCCCCACTTAGCATTTTCACCTTTGAACACACACACACACAGATAGATATACATATAGATATACATACATATACATATACATACAGATACATATACATACACATACAGATACATACACATGCATACAGATACATACACACACATACAGATACATACACATGCATACAGATACATACACATGCATACACATACATACACACACACACACACACACACATAAATACATGTACATACATGCATACACATGCATACACATACATACACACACACACACACACACACACACAAAAAAAAAATAGAAACACATGCATGATACAACTAATAAAATGTTTAAAACTCTTGGTTATGATTGGCAAAAATATTTGAAGGTTTTAAGAGCGCTTATTCAATTCTGATATTATTGATAGAATATAGAACTTGTCATTGATAATATCGACATTTCATCACTTCTCAGCTGATTTTCATTCCAACTGTTCTGAATAATGTATACAATCACAAGAAAGATTCTAATAGGTAATATGAAAACGAATCAAGGAAAAAAAAAGTACTACAAAATTAAAAGTTGAACAACCCATGGGTGTTTCCTTGTACAATGTGGTAGTTCTAAGCATGTAATTGTGCCAAGCCAACTCTTGAATTGTCATGGACTCGGTTTTGCTCAATGCGTTGATGAGCAAAAAGCTTGTGCTAGCATCAAATTATCTATTTAGCTCATGTGCTTGCTTGTTTAAGAAAATGTTAATATAAATTATACTTTAAATATATTAAATTCAGGAATTTAAATATGAATTATTAAAAGTGATTAAAAATCACATTGTACTATTAAGTGAACTCTAATTATTTATTCATTTTATCATTTTATTATAATAGTTATTTGAATTAAAACTTAATTAATTAATGGCTCGTGAGTTGACTCAAATTCGTAGAATTAAGCTTGAGCTAAAACTTAATTAATTAATGAAGCTCAAGCTCAAGCTTAGCTTGATTCGAGCTTGGCTCGACTCTTTTACACCCCTAGATAGTTTTTGTGGATTGGTAAGCTGACAAGGATTCCACATATTTGTGGGTGCAAGGAGACTATTGTTGGTCTAGGATGATTGAGAACTTGTTGGTCCTGGTGGGTGAAGAAGCTGTTATGGTTCTGGGAGGCAGGAATTATTCATTAGCATGATGATTTTTTAAAGATTTTCACTAATAACCATGTGATAAAAATGTAAGTTGTTCATCTATAGTTATGAATGGAATATAGATTAGATCACTATTAAGTATTTCCTTTATAAAATATCTACCAACTACAATTTGCTTTGTCTGGTTATATTGCATGAGATTAAGCGCAATACTGTCGGATGGCTTGTTACATTGTTGTGCTTCATATATCTTTTTCATTCAACCTTTAAATATTTCAGGATTATTGTTAGCCCTAATAATTTATAAATTTTTAGTGCTTTCAATTTAAATTCAGCTTCTATGCTAGATCTGTTATTATTATTTTTTTAAATACTTTAAGTCGTGAGATTTCATTAAAAGGAGTGAACATTTTAGATATCTCAAGTTTATTGTTTAAAGTGGTGGTGATATAGATGAGGATGTTATTAGTAGTACTCAAGGTTGATGGTTGAAGTGGAGGAATGCATCGGGCCTGTTGTATGATAGAAAAGTATTGCATAGACTCAAAGGAAAATTTTATAAGATGGTAGTGAGACCTACAATTCTTTATGGCGCAAAATGTTGGCCTATAAAAGAGAAGCATAAAAGTAAGTTAAATGTTGTTGAGATGATTGAGATGAGAATACTCAGGTTACTCAGGTGGATGAGGGGCTTGACTCTTAGAGACAAAATGTGAAATGATTGTATCCAGGAAAGGTTTGGTGTAGCTCGAGTGAGAGAGGATTAGAGAGTCATGTTAGATGGTTTGGGCACATGAAACGTCGATCATTTTGATGATTCGGTTATGAGAGTAGATTTTTTAAATTCAACTTATGTTAAGAAAGGTGGAGGTAGACATGAAAAGACTTGGGTATGTTGTATAAAAAATGATGTTAATTTATTAGAATTAAATGAAAATATGACTCTCAATAGGACACATTGGAGAAAAAGGATTCGTGAAGTCGACATCACTTGGGATAAAGGCTTGAGCACGTTGTATAAAAACTGACATTGATTTTATTGGAATTAAATGAAAATATGACACTTGATTGGATACAATGGAGAAAAAAAAATTGTGTAGCCGACCCCACTTAGTGGGATAAAGGCATGTTGTTGCTGTTGTTGTACTTTTTAAGTCTTGATATTATCTCCTAAAAATATATAATATTCTGGAGTTGGCCTTTTGCCAACCATAGAACTTACATGCAATTGAAAGAATGTTTTCTCATTGCTCAAGTTCGTCTCCAATAATAATTGAATTGCTTTTCAAATTCAGCAACTCGAATCAAATCCAAGCCTTGTTTGGTGTTTCACTGCATATTATGCAGCAACATTTAATTTCCAGTTTCTAATGTTGAACTCTGGTAGAATATTATTTCTTTCGTCATTCAAAGCTACATATATATTCTTTGCCTTTACAAATTAGTATGACCCACAATCTAAAACCTGTAGCAAGTAATTATGACAGTGTATATTTTTGGCCTGGTGGATTTTTTTGGGCACATTTTCTTTTTATTTTGTTTTGGGTATTTAAGTTAATTTAATATTGTTTGGTTTCATTACTTTGTTAAACTTATTCTAAATTATTTTATCAAGTTTGTATGTATTATTTTAGTTGTTTATTATTTATTTCATCAATAACTAAGGAATTTTTAAGTAATGTAAGATTATTTACAACATGAATAATGAGGCTTGTAACAACCATTTTGGTAGAGATAATGTCAATGTTGAGGCACGACATTTGCTTATTTTGTTAATTTTTTTAAACTTACCACATTTTCTTACTTTCTTTTCCTTTTTTACTTTTCAATGTTTCTGTATGATGTTTTTTCTTTTCTTTGCGATTTTTTTTATTTTGCTAGACTGATTTACAAGATCAACATTTTGTTTATATATTACAGATTTTACACATTTCTGAGGTTGATGTTCGAGAAACAAAAATGATGGGATCTACTCCTATTATTGTTCTTGCTGTAAGTATTCCTGTAATTCTTCTTTCACCTTTTTGTGGCATCTATTCCTTGTATTGAAGCTGGATCATTTTTTTTCTTGAATTTTATTTTCTTGCAGTTTCAAACACAACAGATTTATTGTGTTCGTGATAGACAAGGGTCGATCACTTCCGGCGGACAGGTAAATTTAATTATATTTTAGCTTTTATGCTTTGAAAAAATTTAATGTGCTACACGTTCATAAATAGTGGATGGAGAGGCTGGTCATGGTAGTCTTTCCAGTTAATGTCTTCTTAGCGATGGTTGGAAGATAATTTCTAACTATATTCTTCTTCACAAAATCTAAAATTTACTGCTAATTTTCAAACGCTCGTGCTTACATACTTGAACAACTGAAATGTTCGTCTCATTGTCACCATCTATGTACTTAAGAGTTGAATACCGATAATTTATCTATGTTCATGTAGAAGGATGCAAAAATAATGGGATTGGCCTGTGCTGGGCTTGTCTGTTTAAAGATGGCAGCTTTATTTTATTCTGATACTGCAGCTGTCCTTCCAATTAAAAGGATACATGCAGCAAATATTATCAACTTGCTCTTCTGATGGAGCCCTTTGATGCTCTTAACTTGTGTTATAGCTTTCCACTGGGAGAGACATTGATACCTCATTACCATTTTGGGGCATTTACATACATGCCACCCAATTGCTTTGTATTTACATATCTAACACCTATACTTTACTTTTTTACATCTATACCTAATTTCTCATATCACGTCTAAATTATCCCCATTTTAACTTGAAAAAAAAAGTGAAATACACCTTTTCTTGCATAGGGAAGGTGGTATGTATGTAAAAATTGAAGTTCAGGTGTTAGATATCTGAATGCATAAGAATTGAGTGATATTTATGTAAATCTTCCTACTATTTATGAGCATACGGTCTTATTTAAAGGCATAACTTTAAGTAGTACTTAGCACATGACTAGCAAAGCTATATTTTCACCGTGGTGATATTGCAAACTCATTTACTCACACGTTAGTTTTGCAATTTCCTCCAATTATGTTATAATGATGCAATTGCATGGGTTGGGTGCTTTCCTTTCCTCAAATTTATGGGTTGGGTTACTCCGTTGTGAAGATACAAAAAGAACAAACCCTTTTTTCTTTTAAGATAACTAAACAATCAAATAGTATTATCTGTTATAATTTCTCTCACACATGGATTATTTGTAGTTCCCAGTTCCATTAATAGTTGTTTTTCTATCATCCTTTCTCTTATCGATATGCTTTATTCTTGATACTGTTCTAGGGCTCCTAGACATATTTAGGAAGGGGATTTAGCGGGGAAGTAGTTGTGGAATAGCGAGGGAAATGGAGTATGACAGCATTTGGAAGGATGTAGGAACGACAAAAATCTGCTGTTGGACAGCAGTGTGGGCGAGTACGGCGGCTGTCCGGACTGAAAACAACAGTCTAACGGCAAATCGGACAGCGAACATGAAACGAGAAAAATGTGATTTTGCTGCTTTATCCAGCACCTGGAAGCATGTTCACTGAAAACAGCGGGTGTAACTGTCAATGGCGAGGTTCCACCATGTTCTTGAACAATATAGAGATACACCACCTGCAAAAAAAAAAAAAAAAAAAGAAAAAAAAAAGGATAGACAACACTCAGAGCAGAATTTAGAGAATACATTATCAAGAAACACAAATACAAGCCAAAAGTTTTAATACTAGAAAATAACAACATTATAAGTAGGGGTGTAAACGAACCGAACACGAACGAACAAAGCTTGTGTTCGTGTTCGGTTCGTTTAAAATTTAGTTTGTTTGAAATAA